AGGCTTCAATTTAGTCGACGTTGCATATGCAGTGAAGAGTCAAGACTCATTCATTGTGGCAAATTGAGTAGCAAATTGAGACAATGCATTCACTTATGGCAAACAGCAATTGGAAATGTACCTTTAAGTTGATTTGAAATGCAAAATGTTTCAAACGACCCGTGAGTGTGTGTGTGTGTGTGTGTGTGTGTGTGTGTGTGTGTGTGTGTGTGTGTGTGATCCAGATTGCTGTAATCACAGCATCACTACAGCCCAGTTATTCTGGATTGACACAGACAAGATGTAAAAATAAATGCAGAAAAAAGGCAAACAAAAACATAACTCTATTTTGTGTGTGTCCCTGTATTTTCTTCTTCTTCTTCTTCACATCCACCATTATTACAGTGCGTCACTGGCTGCACACAAACAGAGGACACTGTACCGCTGAGGGTGGCTGTGTGTGGGGCTTGTGTGATGATCCGAGGCATCTCTGCCCAGTTGAGGGCTTGGATAATGGTTAGTTGGGGTTGAGAGAAGCCCTGGGCTATTTTGGAAAAATCGCTGAGGAGAAAGGAATCAATATCAGACATACACCCACTGTGCAGCCCTGTGTGTGTGTGTATTTGTGTGTTTGTGTGCACGTGTGTATTTACGAGTGTAAACCTTTCAACTACCCCTGCAATAAATTAATCTCTTTCTTCTGTCTAATCTTCCCCACAAATAAACAAAACAGTCAGCCGTAAATTAGCCGACAAATCTTCTGTTTCCTTTCAACCTCCCTGCTGATGCTGGCTTCCTCCTCCGCTCAAGACATCACAGGTCAATACTCAAACCAACTACTGGGTTTTTTTCCCTCTGTATCATATTTTTTTGGCAATTAAAATAGGCGGCAACATAGAAACGATTCATGAGGTGAAGGCTAGTTTTCCTCTGTCAGGGTGGGAGACATTTTCAGTTTGATTCTCTCTTTATTAATTAACTTCAGAAATAATAGCAGAGGTTTTTCCAGATGCACAGGAATCGATTGGTGGCGAAAAAAGAAACAGATTAATTCTGATCCGAATGAGAAAAACAAGAAGAGAAAACAGACTTGTTTACATCAGGGAGGAGTGAGACAAGGACGTACGTAAGACACGAAAGCATCAGGGAACAGGAGGACAAAATGCAATGACAACAGAAATAAACAAGAAACTCAACAAGAAATAACCCTGAAACAGAATTCAGACCTAGCAAAGGAAAACTAAAAATCTAATTTGAAAAGTGAAAAAAAATATTAGGACATTTTTTTTAAAAAAAGCCTAAATGAATAAATAATCTAGAAGACTAAAATGAACCCTTTAATGAAACCTTTAAATTTAAACCAATCTAAACCAAACCTAGAATGGACTGCAGCGTCTTTTTGGGCTGAACTGTCTGGTGGGGGAGCAATCTTAGGGGAGCGCTGAAAGACGTAACATGAAGAAACTTAAATGGGGCAGTCACTGTGAGGAGCATGACTCCAACTGCTGCAGCGTTTGCATCGATGCCACGCCTTCTTTAACCCAGTCCACGGTAGTTTCCTAAACTCAACCGCTATGTTTTTTTTCTTCTTTGTCTCAACCAGCAACTCTGCTTCAGGAAATGAGCAGCAGCTCAAACCCCCTCACTCTGCACCACGGCAGGGTGCTTTGTTTTCCGCGACCTGTCCGTCCACTCCGACCTCCCACCTCTATGACAACACCCACCAACTTCCTCTTTCCTTCACTCCCGTCATTATTACCACAGCTGCTAGAGGTTTGCCGAACAATAAAACCTGACTATGGATCATAATAAGATGATTGCACCGCTGACCTGTGAGGTCACTTTTTAGGGGAGGACATTCTCCTCTAACTCGCATGAAGTAATTTCGGAGATAGACGGGTGGCTGATGTGGAGAGATAGATGGGGGGTGGAGAACGAGAGAGAGAGAGAGAGAGAGAGAGAAATGGATAGTATGATTTAGCTGATAGGAGAAATCATTTACCAGCGCAATTTGTCGACAAGGATCTGGGGATGTCTCAGTGTGTCAGCGCCTCAGTCACTTTGATTGATGATGGATATTCACTGACTCTCTCTCTCTCTCTCTCTCTCTCTCTCCCCTTCTTTCTTTCCCATTCTGTCTCTGTTTCTCTCTAAACCTTTGGTGCCTAAACCCCAGCAGGGCAAACTGCTCCTGCCTTAGCGTGTGTGTGTGTGTGTGTGTGTTCATGTGCATGTGTGATGTATCGCACTTCACCTCAAGATTGGGGCATATTAAAGTGGGAAAAAAATCCATGTGAACCTTTTTCCCTGCAGCTCTCACTTCACACCTTCTGCTGCCATCATTTAACTTGACCGTCTTTGTTCATGGCTCACCGGAGGTGTGTGTGAGTGTGTACTTGTGTGTTGGTGTGGTTAGGTTATGTGCTCGCCTTCAGCATGTGTCTGTATGTGTGTGTGTCTGTGTGTATTTACCAGGTGGGGCCATCTATCAGCTGGGGTCTTTATCAATGCTGTGAGGCACGGGGGCCCATCGATGAGGCTCCTTGTTTTAGTGAAACTCTGCCCCAGGCCACACATCCACCCAGTGTGGATTCTAAGATGAACAGTAAGCACAGAAATCACACCAGTGTCTACGTGAGGGCAGAACACAGCAAAGAGTCTGAGCACTGAAACTACTGTGGACTGGACAAGACCACTGTAGAAAAGGTTAGCTTTGGCTAAAACAGGAGAAGAAGTATCCAGTTTGGCTTCTGTTGTGGAGTAAAAGGTGGTTGATTTAGGCCGGAGACTCACTGTTGTTATTACTATAATGCAGTTTTTCAAAAATGGGTACCCGACCCCACCTAGGGTCGACTTAAATTCAAATGGGGTCACCTTAATTTTTTTTGTGAATATATTTTATATAAAATTATGATTAAAAACACCACCCTGTGTACAGTAATCTGAGCCAAAAACAGTTAGCTGGAGTTAACCAACCAAAACTGTGAAGTAGAAAAAGACAAATAAGACTTGGCATAAAGCTGAGCTTATTATGAGTTAGCTGCAACACAAAAAATTTAACAGGAAATATGTGTTGAATTTTTTGTCTATTTCTTTATTGTTGAATGCTGGTTAATGCTGGTTAAAGGCCTCTTGCAGTGTTAGCTGGAGGTGTGTTATACAAGAACTTGACACCAAACATGGATTTTGTGGGATAAAAAAAAAGGCCCAGAACTGTTTGGTCTTGATTTGTTGCCTGTGTTTCCAGTGGTTCTGGTGTAAGGCCGATGAGTGGACTTGTTAATCTCTGCTTCTCGTTGACTAAACTTTTCTAAAAGCGTTGCGTGTGTCTGAATCTAATAAGCACAGCAGATTCCCATTTCATTTTTTGATGACTTGACTTGTTTGCTGATGGAGATTTTGCGTTTCTTCATTTGTATGTAAAGTGAGTAAATCCTAAATTGAGCTGAACACTTTTCAGTCCGGGGAGTCGGCAATGACTCTGCCAGGAACGACGTGGCTACAGCCAGTGAGTCATCGGCAAACTGCTTTGTTATGCTCGACACCATCAATCTCCATGCATAAGAATAGCCAACTTCAATAGCAATATTGATCAGAGAAACCTTTGGAAACAGCTAAGGTCAGAGCCTCGTCCCACCTCGAAAAGTTGCAGTGATTGATTTATAAATTTTGGGGGTGCAGGCAATCTCTATCGTTTTAATGCAGTGCAGAAAAAATGATGTGCTAATATGTCAAATTGAGTCATCATCAATTTGAAGAAAGGAACCTCTGACAGGAATGTAAATTTAAAGCAGCCTGAACAAGGGAGATAGTATAAGAAGAATAAAGGCGAGGAAAAAGTGAAGTGAAAATGGATGAAAGTGGGATTTTCTTAAAAAATGTAGCTTCCTTTTTAAAAGATTTGTTTGGTTTTTATGATATTTTATGTGACAATTTTCCAATCAAATGCAAATTTTTTGAATATTTGCAAATGTTTGTCAGTGGTTTATGTTACACTCACAACAACATCTTAAATTCACAGTCTTTCTCACTCACTGAAGCTCTTATGTTCTACTTTTTTTCAAATTTCACCCGACATGTTATTGTAACTCAGACGATGAGCGTGGATTAAATTAGTCATTTTTACAGCACGTCATAAACATAGCGCTGGGACTGTCAAGGATTCCCCTTCAATCAGAACTGACCTTTCATTGACTTGTAAAATAAAGAAAACAATAAAGGAATCATATTTCTTAAAAGGTTGACATTTTGTCTCTAATTGATACTCGAGAAACGTTAGCAACAATGTCAAGGCCTGAAGCAGCAACTGTTGTGTCTCCTGTACTTTTTAAATTTTAGTTTTCCACTTTTTCTTTGAAACCCTTTTCCAAATGTGACAAAAGTCAAAGTACAGCGTGATGGGGTTTTTTTTGTTTGTTTGTTTTTTGGTGTGCTTTTAAACAATAACCTGAATTGAGCCAAAAATGTTTAAGAGACACTTTAAGGCTAAAACTCTGCCGTCGTAGAAAGACACACGACACGATGAAAATAAAAACTGAAAAGAGTTCTCACTCTCAGCCAGTCTCTTTTAAGCTTTTGGCTCAGTTGTAAAAGTGACAGATTTGCAAAACAGTCAAAGACAGATTGAGGGAAAAGAACCAAACCTGACGTTTTCACATCATCCCAGACAGGATGGTTGATGACAATGAAGAATCCACAGAGTTTCAGACGTTTTGACAGGCACTTAAGACTCAGCCACACTTCTCAGGTGTTAACAAAAGCTGCGTAAATTCTGCTCTTGCTGCTCTTCTGTCCATCGTCCTGAGTGCCAGGACGGACACGTTTACCTGTGTTTACTTTGTGATTCTTTTTCACTTTGTCAGTGAACTCATGGCAGTTCTTTTGTCACTTTTGTCTCAGTAGTTCTTCGTTAAAAATCCTTCCAGGAAGAGTTAACTTCTTCTCCTTCTTTACAGTGTTTTGGTCCATGGTTCTAATCTGTTGGTTTCTCTTTGCCCACCTCCCCACCTCTGCCCACTCAGGGTAACCAAGAGGCCCCAGCTCCTCCTGAAGCCATGGCCCAGCCCTTCCCACCAGCCCAGTACCCCGCTCCACCACAGAATGGGATCCCTGCCGAGTACGCCACGCCCCACACCCACCCGCCAGCCGACTACACAGGACCCAGCACGGTGGCAGAGCACGCCCTGACCTTGTACACGCCAACACACACACACAGTGAACAGCCGGGAACTGACAGCAACACCCCCACCCTCACAGCCACCACAGTAACGGTGAGTCTGGACTTGACACTGTGAAATTAGATGGAGCTAAATTCCACTGGACTCACTGCTGTCTTTACATTTATGAGATTAGATAGAGCTTCAGGATTCTTTTTTTTTTTCTTTTGATATTTAGATTTTCTTTGATTATTCCAGATGGATGATCAATATTAGCCCAGGGTGGGAAAGTGTGTGTGTGTGTGTGTGAGAGAGGGGGGCTCTTGCTTGGGTTTTCTGAGTGAGTTGCTTATTTTCAAAGGTTAAGCTATGCTGCTGGTCAGTATTGGTATTGCTGCCAATCCAGGCATTTTGAGGTAAAAAATAAAAAAAAATTCCTCATCAACCCTTTTCTTACCCAACCCCCCACTCTAATTACACTCCTAACACATCCAGTATATTTAAGGACATCAGTAAAATATATTAAATTAAAAAATAAGCTGAAATAAAGTAAAGGATTTAACTTTTTATTTTTCACATGGATTTTCTTCATAAAGTACCCTTGAACATTACCACTGGTTTTACATAGAGCATTAATTGCGTTTGGTAGCAATAGTAGTAGAAACAGTGGCACGTTTCAAATATTGATTACATTATATATTCAAAAGAAGATTTAAACCAAAGATTTACACCACACTTTAATAGTTGATTGTGTAAATACTGTTGTTCTTTTCTTGTTTGATGTTTCTTTAGTTCCGGGGCGACTTATTTGAGGTTCGCTCACTTCTCTGTGCTCAGCCCAAAGGCGTTTGTAGAGGATGAGACACAGAAAAGAAAGCAGGGAACAGGGAGTGAAGCGTCTCCCGCTCACTCTATGACTGCCTCTCTGAAGTTTCTTTTTGTTTTTTTTAACGCTATACTTCACACAAGTTGAATCCTTGAACTGTTTTTTTAAGTGCATCCTGTGAACTTTAAATACAAAAAAACCAACAAAGTAAATGAGAATGAGATCATGTGAATTACATAGAATGAGAAGAGAAGAATAGTCATTGGGATTCTACTGGAAGATCACGCAACTGCATGAATGCAGGGCCATGGACACACACACGCGCACACACAAACTACACACATGCAGTGCTAAAAACACCACAGTTAACTGCAACACCACTTGTCTGTGGTGAAGGAGACTTGAAGCTGACAGGCCCAATAAGATTAGATCATGCTGCGGAGGTATGGCAGTGTATAGACACTGATGGTGGAGGTGGGGGGACAGTGAGGGGGGTCCAACACCAGAAGACATGGTACAGTCAGCATTACTGGGAGTGTTTTACAGTCACTGCGGAGAGTTTGTCACAGGCTATAATTGTTACTGTCAAGAGACATAGTTGCTGGAGGATAAAGGAAAGAGACACCACGCATACTTCCACCGCCGCATAAGACACACACTACATTTATTGTCAGAAAATACACTGACAGAGCAATATATCAGGTTGATGCTGTGTTGGGTTTTTTGACTAACAAGACGAGGTCAGAACCCAGTATATAGATGAATACGGTCCAAATCCATCGTCTGCCAAAAAGGCAGCGGCTGCGCTGTGTCTTTTTTGGCCAGATTTACTTATAGGATGATCACTCACAGAGAGAAAGGAGTTCATTCATGTCTGTGTCAGCTACCATGCGGCTAATTGAATGTCAGAAATATATATTTGAAACCAAAGTACCCAGACAGAACCTGCGCCTCCCCTGTCCTCACCTCACTCACCAACCTGGAATATTTTCTCCTCAAAAGAACTTTAGGTTCAAGCTGGAGACCAAGGCCTGTCTACTTCTCCTCCAGGTTTCACATAATGAAAGACAGTAGACACTATTTAATAAATAAAAAAAATAGTTGTACTGCACTGTGGGTATTTGTCCGTCACTCTGTGTCTGAGTGATAAAATATAAAGGAAGAATCATTAGCTTTGTGTAAAAAGCACTCAAAATGCCAACTGTTTTTTAGTTCTGTGCCAAAACATTCCAGGACACATTTGATATTAAATTTGGTCTTTGCATGATGAATAACATTTTTTTTTATAAACCCAAATTCACGGAACACATTTGTCTCAGTACAGTTTGAAACAAGAACTGAAATTAAACTACAAATATTCTTCTAAAAGCCTTATTTAACAGGGGAAATGGAGGGATGGATATGAAGTCAGTGTTTAAACTAAATTCAAATTAACAATAGCAGGTAAGGCAGGAAGAAAGTCACACACAGTTAGTTTTGGCAACAGTGGAGAGAAAAAAAAGCCCTTTTAATAGGACAAAATCTCCAGCAGATCCACTCGGCAAAAAAAGAGAGAGAGGGGGGAGAACTGGGGAAGACAGATTCATGGGGAAGAAAATGTTTTCATTGAAAACATCGAAACAAAATTCCAAATGAACCATTAAACTTCAGATTCCAACTTTTTGTTGAATATAATTTTTTTGTGATGATGACATTTTGCTGCTGCCTGGACAGGTAACAGCTGGGAGCTGGGATTAACTAATTAATAATCCCTGTCTTTGTTTGGAGAACGTCTGTGGTTCTAACACACAGTACATTGTCTGAACAGACGACTTCATTTTAGTCCCTTTTCAGTGAAAAACAAAAGGGTCACAGTTGTGAATAGCCCTCGTCTTCCACTCTGACACAGAGTCGGGAACACAGTTTCAGCGTCTCCTTCTTCTGCTGCTGCCTTAATGAGGACTATTCTAATTTGTCGTCCTTCGGTGTAATGGACATGTGTCACTTCATCACCGGGTAAACCCGTGAAATAAACAACACTTTTGACCCAACAACTGTTTTGTTGATTTCTGGAGAGAGGTCTGAGCCCGTCCCCTCTGCTGGACCTGATAGCTAATAGCATACGATTTCTCATCTGATTGCTTCTGTTATAGGCCTGCGGAGGCAGACCGCAGTCGCACTGCTGAGCTCAGCAAGTAGCACACACACACACACAGACGGACGGGAGAGACACACCAACACATGCTCCCTCATGTGGGAGATCTCACTGGTTTAGGGCAGTTTGGGGGAGATTCAAGCTGTTTGTGTGCATGTCGTCTTTGTGTACACAACCTTCCACGATGCAGTAATCACTTCCATTAGAAGATCCAATAATTGCGGCTCAAGCTTTTCCTTCAAATCACGTTTGTTTTTTCATCTCAGCTCTGATGCAACAGTATTTACTGAATGGTAAAAAATAAATGATTATTTACAGATTTGTCGAGGTGCTTTGTTGATCGGGATAAGTCACTTGACGACGTTTCGTGAATTCAAGTGGTGCATAGATAAATTTGTGTATTAAGGAGTGTGTGTGTTTATCTTAATGACACACAGTAAACTTGTTTTTTACCCACCTATCTTTTCCTCTACTAATCAGCACTTAGCCTCATTGCATTTTTAATTTTTCATTCTCTCCCTCTCTCTCCTGAATGCAGCTCTCGACTGCACTTACGTCAGCGACCAGGCAGTTTTAGGTCATTATCATTACATACCAGTGGGGTTTGTGTGTGTACCTGCCCCCCCCCAATGCATACCTCCAGCCTACAGAGATATAATTCATCATGTAAATGCTCATACCTTCGACTGGGCCACGAGCACAGAACGTTCTGTGTACGTTCACATTCACGCAGGTCATGAATCCTCCAGTCTTATGACAGAAGCAGCGGGGTTTAAAGTTTATTCAGAAGTTTAGTTTCAGCGAAACTTTTGCTTCTCTCACAACTGCAGGGAGAAGAAGAGTTTACACAAACAAGTCAAGAAGTGGCAACAATTATGTCCTTGGACATTTTTGAACCGGTCTCACCCAAAATAAGTGCTGACAAAAACACACCTTCTCAAAAACAGTGAAGCCACACAGTGAACTGTATTCCAACATATCCTTAATATAAAAGGAAGTAAGAGGACAAGTGATCTTGTATCTCCGAACTAAAAGTAAAAAAAAAAAGAGAGAGGGTGTAGGAAAAGTGAAGGATTTCTGTTCTTGGTTTAACAGGAGGGAGAACGTAACGTGGTCTTGAACTTTAACATGCTCTGACATGTTTTTCCGCTCTCCACGGTTATGAAGTGGAGTTATCTGACTCACCATCTACCTGTCAGCTCCATCCAGTCCGAGGATTTATCTCTGACCTCTCTCACCACCGCACGTCGGCACCTGGCCGGCTGTTTTTAGTTTTGAGGAAAAACTCTCCAGACAGTTGTATGCGTAAACCTCCAGAGATTAACAGTTTCACAGAAGCTTCACACCAACAATCTCCTTCTATTTCCACACAATTTTGATGCATTTCTGTGTTGACATATGACTTGTTAAATGAAGAGTGGCAGACAGGGACGGGCTCAGTTGTCTGAGCACAGTGGGGTGTCTGTACAGTGGAATAGAAATTCAGTGGTTCTTCTTAATGAATCAATTCATCAAGATGGGACATTTCAACAGCAGCAACTCTAAAATGATCAAACCTTGGTTGAGATCCAGTGCTTTACAATTAAAAAAAAAAAATTACACAGAAAAACATGTTGAAAACTTGTCTGCTCAAAACAGACATGTTCAAAGTGAGTGCAGCAAGACGACTGGCTCCTGTGGCAGACATGGTGCGCCGCTGCTGAGGACTGGTGACGAGCAGCTGATTGCACCAGTGACACCCAGAGAAATGACAGCTGTGATTAGAAAGTGTGGAGAAGCAGAAAAGTGAGAGACTAAAAAACTTTGATCGGTTCTTGCAACACAGTCATCTTCCTGACCGGACCGATGCCAAAGCTTCATTACAGCCAATTAGCAGTTTTAATGCTGGGCTGATCACAGTGAGCCAAGTCTACTTTTTATTTATCAAAGCAGTCGTTTCTCTCTCAGGAGCCACTGATTTAATAATAGCTGTATTTTGTCACATTGTAAATTCTACTGCGTGTTGTATGAGGGTTCAACAGTAGCCTGCAATAATAAAGGCATGAAGTGGACCGACTTAAAGAGGTTCGTCTGCGGCAGCGACTTTCACTTCCGCTGGTGCCAGCGCTGCTCAATATTAGCGGGTCTGAGTTGAGGGTTTCTAACAGGTGGCCATTTTCTGCAGAAGTGCTGTAGCAGTTTAATGCAAGTGCTGCGTTGACTTGGAATGTACAGTTTGGCAACGTCCACCATAAATCTGGCCAATATGAATTTATAGTGTACATACCAATAAACAGTGCACTTTGGAAGCAGATCATTTAAATTGTTGGACTGAAACCAACTTAAATTAATTGACTTGTTTACTCGAATGTTGCTGATTCTGACGATAGCAAGTCAACTTTGGTTGGTTTGCAACATGCAAGACTAAGACTGTTGCTAATGCTGCGGCGTTAGCATTAGCAACTGTCATCACTGAGACTTTTGAAGCCACTTTTGACTGTAAGACAGTGGTTAACCAATTGAAGAATACTAAACTAAAATCAACAACTTGTCTTTACTTTTTTGGGTTTTCACAAATCTACAGTGGGTTTTTTTCTTGTATTATTTTATAAATATGAATTAATATTTTATGACTTCTCACTCTTGTTATCTGTATAATGCTGGATTTTTTTTTTTTTTTTCTCTAACCGCAGCAGGCAGAGGAGGCTGTACAGACGGAGGGTTCCCAGCAGCTCCACCTGCAGCCCAATGACTCATCTGGGAAGCAGCAGCCTAAGAGGTTACATGTCTCCAACATTCCTTTCCGCTTCCGAGATCCCGACCTGCGGCAAATGTTTGGGGTAAGATAATGTGATAATGAAAAACCAAATCAAATAATGAAAGACAGCAGCAGGAAGGGAGAGATAATTCACTGCATCATGGGAGTTTCCAGCCTCCCATGATGCAGTGAATTGGGCCTACAGCAGCATGACAAAGGGAAAACTCATGTTTAACTAATTGTTGGCTTTATTTAAATGTGATCATCTTTCTTTCCTGGCTCTCAAACAAACGTTGTTTGTTTTTAATACAACAAAGGTGAGCGTGGCGTCGTCCCTCATTTCAATGTCGCCACCAGTTGGATTACAGGAATGACTCACATGCTGGCATCATTTGGAATTGGAAGCAGACATTACTTTGGTTGTCCATCAACGCTGTTGTCCACTTTGGCTCATTAAATATACAACATGCCAAATAATCATAATGTGATATTAAGAAGCATCTAGAAGATGAATGGCCGTCGCTAAAGTTTAAACAATGTTAGAATTGAAGTGAGGGCTGAGGTCACGCTCATGCAGTTCCACCTGGTGAACACAAATGAGCTCCATCCAAATTCCTAATTTTCGTTGTGTGATTGTTGACAGACATTTTTGGCTCTTGTTGTGTTCATCTTCAGACTGGCTCTGTGTGGTTGCGTCTGGATTTAGTGCAGGCATAATTGTTACCAGGCCTCGTTTTAGAACACCTCACACATTAGTCTTACATACGGTGAAATTATGTTGCAACAGGGGCTCTCTCCCTGTGTCAAAAACCAGTTTCTTAATGCAAACACCAGACCAATCACAGAGGAGTAACTGACTCCCAGTGATTCAGAATCTGAGGCACGTGTTTGGAAGTTTTAAACGACAGCAGCAGCAGCAGCAGCAGCAGCATTATTATTGGAGGCCATAAGAGCCACGTTGACAGCAGCATGTGCAAATGATGCAGCAAAATGCAGTGACAAAGTACAATTAGCAGTGAGCATCACCTCAAATATAACGGTTATTACAACAATCTCCGGCGTGTAAAGTGGAAAATAATTCACACCTTTATCTCTGTTTGCCCCCCAACCTGCAGCCTTAAGTGGACTTTGGAGAGTTTAGTAATAATGCTTATATTCTCTTCTCCTTATGTGGGCAAAAGAAACGTGAAATGTGTAGGCCAGTGTATAATACAACAAGAAGAAATTTATTTTTTTTATGCAGCACCAACTCTCAGCCAATATTAACAAACACACACACACACACAGACACACACACGTTCTCACACCTGTTTGTACATCATCGGAGCAATTTAAAGGTTCAGGGTCTTTTCCCAGTTTGTGGCGTTCATATGCAGCAGGAGGAGGAGGCAGGGTTCAAACTACTGACCTGAGGAAAATGCAGCGATACAACGCAGCAATTATGTGATTTACAGAACATTTTGTTTCAGCCGTGCTTATCTACACGGTTAAACAGCGCTGCCCCCATCATCCCTCTGTTATTGGAGTTTTTGGCAGTCCCTAACCCAGGATGCGGGAACAAACGTGAGATGCATAATCTGTGTAAGTGTGCAACACAAATCTCTAGTTTAGGAAAAGTTTTGCTTTTTTTTCTACTACTGTAGCCAGTGGCAGGGTTATAGTCACAGTCTACTGGCGGCAAATGTGGGTACAAAACATCTGAAAATGGAAACCCCCAGAGTTTAATTATCTGTCTCTGTGGAAACCTAATTCAAAGAATGGTTTTTCCATGTCACACTTTTTCACATAATAATTTTTATATATATATATATATTTTTTTTTTTACCTCTGTACAAAGAAGAAAAAACTTCTGGCTGGGCTTAGATCACAGTGTCAGCCCAGTGCAGTTGTACATCAAAACCAACAAAGAATTAAGAGCAGAGCTGAACAAAAGGTAGACGGCAAAAACGAGTAAATCTGTACGAGCAGGAGTCTCTGGGAAAGTCAGGCTACATCTCAGTCAATTTATAACATCTTTAACCTTTTCTTCAAGAGTCTCAATTTCACCTTTCTGGAAATTGTAAAATAAATAAATGAGGTATATTTCCAGTTGGCTAAACTAGGTTTCAGCTTAGAGAAGAATTATGCACATTATTTTATACTAGCCTATTAAGAGCTGAGTTGTGAACGTCGATTTTTCTCTACTTTGCTGTCTAGCAATATACTTGAATCCGTAGCTTGCTACAGAGCTAACTGTCGTCATGCCTAGCTACAGATTCACCCACCTACCAAGCTACCTTGCTACTGTTGAAGTTATATAAAATTTGAATAATGGCTTCTGGAAGCTGGAGGTTTTTCAGCAGTAGATACTGGAGGTACTGACTACCGTACACACTGTTTTTCCAAGTGGCTTGAAAATCCCAGGAAACCCAGTCTATCAGATTATTTTGCAAACAGGTGAATATGTGCACTAATGAGTGACCTGCGTGTGCGCCACCTGCTGGAGCCCAGTGTTAGCGGTCACTGCCAGGAGCTTTCCTTACTTGTCACTTAAGAACAGCAGCTGTGGAGGTTTTATGATCCATTGTGTTTTGTAGCAGTTTGCTGGTAGAGGATGGACGAGGGTTGTCACAGCTCTCACACACAACCACACGCAGTACAAACTCTCTCACACACCACTTTCTCTTCTCCTCCCTGTTAATGGTCCGGCTTTAAGGATTAATGGTTGTGGGCAGGGCAGTCGTACCGCAGTTGAGATTCCATCTGGGCTCTGCTTTCGCCACAATGGACTCCAGTGGCATTTTCCTGCGTTCACTTAAAATGGGACTTGAGAGCAACTGACTCAATTTTCCAATACGTTTCTGCTAGACTACCGCCACAATGCAAACAAAGGCAATAGCTGAGACATTATAGCAAATGGAATTCTGTGTCATTTCGGCAAAAGCCGTAATAGAAAAGCAATATGAGAGCATTAAACAAAGCCATATAGAGAAGTTCAATCAAAGGTGATGCTGCCACAAGCTGGAGGTCTGTCTCTGAGAATTACACAATAATACACAATAACACTTGCTCGCACACCTCTGGAAATCGAGCGCAGGACACAGAATTAAAGCCAGATTGTCGGGTTTGGCGGCGACAGAGATGCACATACGAGACAGGAAAAAAGCGCAACGTTGTAAAGAAATAAAACTGGGTTCATTACCCAAGCTTATTTGAGTTTAATTCATAATTAGAAAAACACATTTGGAAGGAAATTACTAGGCCAGGGAAGAGGGTTTTAATGGTGGAATGATAATTGGCATTCACAGCAACACTTCACTGATTCAATTCTACCATTCTCAAGATGTGGCTGAAATCTGTAATCTCGGTCTCCACCTCCAATCATTCCCTGGGACTGGATACTAATGTTGGTTTACCTGCACGTCCATCGGCGATGTTAATATCTGCTCTCTCCAAACAGAGTGGAATCCAATTCCAGTCCTCGCGGTTTGACATGAATTTGTCTGTTTCGGGGGCTTTATTACGTGCTTTGTCGTGGTTTCTGATGTATGGAATCTTACCGCCTATCGCTAGGTCTGAACCCAGTTTTGCCGATGCTGCACCTGCAGGAGCCCGCTCATTTAACCCCAAACAAAAGTGAAACTTCACACGCTAATATGCAGCACTGCTGCCGTCCCTGGAGCCTCAGCTGTGTTTAATTAATAAGCAAGCACTTAGTGAGCCTGCTGCAACAGGGTCCTCACGGTCATATTCCCAGTGGTAGGGGTCCAGATGAGTCATTAGACATTGCGCACATATAGTCGCGGCGAGTGTGTAGCACAAACGCATGTATCGTCAGTATCTGCGCGTGCACGTTTGTGGTGAGGTGAGCACCAGGGGTTGGATTCTGCGCTAATGGAGTTTTAATGACACCTACTCCTGCCTAATCACCTCTTCTTGAGGCTTCCAGCATTCCAGGTAACCCGATGTGTTCCCAGCTTGGGAATTCTTTTTAATGTCTCCCGTTCATGGCTACACTCTCATTTGCCTCGCCAATTATTCCATAAGGCTCCACTCTAACCAGCCCTGCCTCGGAGGAGGCAAGGTGTAATTATAATCTAAAAACCTGCTAATTTACACCTACATATCACCACAACATCAGAGTCATTTTGTACTGAGTGGGTTGTTAGAAAAGCTGTGCTTTGCCATTGTTGTGTCCCTAAGTAATGTGAGCAGGTTTGCGTTGATTAAGACAATTATGATGTTTGGAATAAAGCGGGACAGTCATAAAAATATATTGATGTGTTTATCGTTGTGCGCCGTTATGAATGCAAGATTGTCCATTACATGGCATGTCTTCACTATTGACACACTATAATTATTGCACAAAGACCAAAGGTGCCTCATTAATTATGAAATATAATTTAATATACAAGTATATGGAGAGTGTTTGAATTTTAATGTTGTTTGAATATTGGATACTGTGCTTAAAATATTTCTGTGCAACTGGTGTTTCTGCTGCAAAATAGTAACTCATGTATTCTCTGATTAATTATAAATGTTAAAAAAAATTATTCTGATAAAAGTTGGCAAATTTCAAAACTATTTACTGACAATACAGTTGTTCCCTACAACAAAAACAAACAAAAAACGACCTTCTTACCAAAAAATAGTTGAGAAACTCATCAGTGAAGATAAAGGAATTATGTTAAAAAAACTAACAAATAACAATCTTAGTAATGCTAACGTTATGTGACAACGACCTATTATAAACCTATTATACATTTTTAAATAAAAAGTTAAAAACTATAAATGCTTTATAAGTGCCTGAATATGAGTTCTGTGGAAAATATATACATAAAAAAAACTAAGTAAAACGACCGTGATTCAATGTTGAAATAATGAATGAATAGGAACAAATTTCACATCAGTAAAATGAGTTCATATTCCATTCCCTCCTTCAGAAATGCAGTATAAAATGATTTCACTCCACTTTTAAACAGTTTACTATTAAAGCAGCCGATTCACTGTGTGAAAACCCAGCCCTAATTATGAGAGTGCCGTGGTATTTCTGTTAGCTTGAAACAGCACTAATTTTGACTAATGGAAACAGCCATCTGAGACACTCCAGTGGAGACTCACCACTATACAAAGATATATAGAGGAGTGAAAGGGAGCGGGGTGGTAAAAAACAGGAGCAATTGGAGGAAAAGTGCAGCCAAGAAGTTAGCATCAGAAGTTTAATACAACACGGAGTCAGACGCTGTGTCGACCCCCAGCGGTATAGGCCTGTAAGATTGTTGGGATGGCGACAAACTGTGGTCAAAAAGGACAATATTCAAATATATTCCATCCATTTGAGGCCTGATTATAACTGGTTTAAGCGTTTAACTTTGATTGTTGTGGTGGTGTAGAAGACGACCTCAGTGGCACCACAGACAGAGGACCAAAACAAACACATACCTCCTGTGTTCTTGTTCATCAGCTTATTGACATCGATCTAGGCTATTGGATTTGTGTAACGATGGCTGAAAGCTTACAGGCGTGTGTGTGTCCTTGTACGTGCGTGCGTGCATGTGTGTGTGTGTGTGTGTGTATGCGCATGTGTTGTGCCTCAACGCTGGCCAGGCTGACAGGGTAATTAGTTCTAATGAAATAACACAGCTATTGTGGACAACAATTAAAGGTAGCTTTCATCCCACTCATTAGCCTTAGTGGAGAAGCTCTTCTCATCTGCTCCACTTCTTAATGATGTGATCTGAAGGACACACTCTGCAATGAAACAATCTCAGCGCAAATATTTTTAAATATATAGAATGTATTAAAATTCAAAACTAGTCCCTTTTTGCTGAATTCAATTTCCCACACAAGTGATGCATTGTGGGTTTTACGTTGCTAGGCGTCATAGTGTTGCATTCATGTCCTGTTCCAGTTCTAGTGTAGAAGTGTCTAATTTCCTGCCATTTCTAATTCTACATACAGTTTCTCCCCATTTTTTTAAATGACCTCAATCATGGACCATTCTGGGGTTATTACGTGGGCCACGTTTGGCCCTCAGGCCACTATTTAAAAAGACTACTGTTTGTTTGTTTTCATTTGTGTTTTTACTGTGTTCTTTTTCTTTTTTATAAAAGAGAAAATGTCTTAAAAATTAAAAAATTAATGACAACATACATGATTCTAAAAACCCACAATAGGTCTGTCCTTGTGCTTTTTGTTTTTCCAAATAGAAGTCCTGAGACATGAAAGTCCATTACATTGTCAGTGTAACATAATAGAGCAGAGATGACAATAGAATCAATTATTCAGTCATTTAATTAACAAAAAAATTAATCAGAAACAAATTATCGAAATATCATTGTGATCTGTTCATGGCCGTTCAAACCCCCGGTCCGCCCTTTTTTCTTTTTTCTTTTTTTTTTTCATGCGCTCATCTCTCATACTTCACACACAAAAATCAATAAAATGCATTTTGCCATTGCACTGGAGAAAGCAGAGCTATTGTGGCTAAACGGCTTGTTCAGCAGCCTGTGGACTCAGGCAGGAGACCCAGACAGAGACAGACAAACGGAGACAAATCGAGACAGAACCAGGCAGAGGAAAGGAGAGCGCTGATCCAAGACCCAACCCTAACCTGCAACACGTGCTAATAGATCTACACTGCAAGGAAATGCATGCATGAAACCAGCAATTCACTCAAAAATCCACTTTTCAGGCCAACATTTCTTTGTTTTTCCTTATCTTACAAATTGAAATATTTGGCTTTTTGCTTCTTCTTTTTTCCCCTCTTATATCGTTGCGTTGCTTTTTCTTCATTTGACATAATTTCCTGGTGTTGGACTTAACCTATAGATGTGTCGTTATTGTGTACCATGTATGAAAATGCAAATCATATGATCCGACACACATTTTGCTGGAGGACCTCTGTCTTGAGGGCTAATTCCAGGGAAGTGACCTTGCCTTTTCTCCGCTGCCTGCCTCCATGTTTATTTATTTATTGAAATAAACTACTTGATTCAAGGTCTAGTTATAGGACTACAAGGCTGAGCATTACCATACAGTCTGGCAAGGTTAGTTCACACAGCCATTAGTTTCTCCCTAGCTCCCTCTACAGCCAGCTTCACGCTGAGCCTTCGCTGATGTTTCTAATTTTGATAAATGAAAAGTTTTACTTTAACAGAATTTTCTAAGAAAAACAAACGCAGCTGCGGTCCACATCTCCGTCCACACTCGCTCTCCACTTGTCGGTGTTTGGTGTTTGCAGTGTTGCTGGTTTAGCTCTGCCTCTGGCCTTCATTTTGCAGTCTGACCTCAGATGGATAATCAGACTATTTTATGCAAACGTAGAATGAACACATGAAGGTGTTTGTAAATTATGGCATTATTTAAATCTGATGTGTGTTCTTGAAGACACTGCAGGATTAAGCAGACATTAAAGCCACGGTGCATCTATTTATGGATGTCATTCACGGCCAGGAAAAGCCTGGTTGTCAGAAAGGAGGAAAATAAAATTGGAGACGTCTTTGAAATTGTTGATGCGTTGCTGAAACTAGCAAACAACGTGATGAAAAAAATACAGAGGCAGTTAGAGAGCTTTGCTGACCTTAAACTTTCAACTTGCTACAGCGATGATGGCGTTTACTCTGAAGCTGCTTTCACACCTCCACAGAAGTCTGTTCATTTACCCGTCGTAGGTCAGAAGTCCACAGGTGTCACTCTGGACTTTAAAAACATCTCAACAGCAACTAACTTGGAAGTTTACTTTAATTTCCATAAATTCCCATGCATGAGTCTTACTGACTGGAGCTAACTGCTTGATTTTACTCAAATGGTAACATCAACACTTTTTTGATAGATTTTCAAACACAGATTGATGAATATCTGTTAATTGTAGTCGTTACTAATTATGAAATGCATCATAAAACAACTCATTTATGAATGGACACCAGTTGAACATAACTTTCACATTACATTCTTTTGGTGAAGGTTTTAAACAGTGACTTTGGGTGAGCCTTATTTTATTGGTGAGGACGGGGGGGTTGCGTAACTACCTCGGTAACAACGTTAAAGACGTAGTGATTAATAGTAGTGTTTCGGGAAGCTGACTGTACAGGAAGTCCTAAGTCTGTAGCCTGTGACATAAAAATGTGTCCTTTTCAGGGTCACCTCCCCTGAACTCCCCCGTTATCCAAACCTCTAGTTAGGAACATGAGATCTTAGGAAAAGCTTTTACTCAAATTTTTAAATGAGCAAAGTTTACCAAATATTCATATCCATGTCGTGATATATGCTCTGTTTGACTGTTTAACTGACACTGACTGTTTAATTTATATCACACTGGCTCAACATTTCCTTTGATTCTAATTTTCTCCATCACTGTTTTCGACCGTACGTTGAAGTCACTGATTCAACTTCGGAGTTTATTTACATAGACAGTGGTCCTGTGTCTTTAGTGGGTTTTTTTGGCGAATCATAATGCCTGACAGGCACTCATTCAGCAGCATCAATGAGCAAGAAGTCATGGTCAGTAGGATCAAGTCTTAACTCCACATAATTAGCCAATTAAAGTGAAGCATGGAGCTAATAAAGACCATTAACAGCTAGATCAGAAGAGAACCTGTGGGCACCCAGTGCTATGGTGGGGGGGGGGGGGGTGGGGGGGGGGGGGTGGGGGGGGGGGGGTGGGGGGGGGGGGGGGTGGGGGGGGGGGGGTGGGGGGGGGGGGGTGGGGGGGGGGGGGTGGGGGGGGGGGTGGCTGTGGCAGGTAATTATGATGACGGTCTGCACTGTGAGCAGATAAACAAACCTCTAATTTATCACAGACTATCCACTAACGCTCTCTCTCTCCCCCCCTTCTCTCCTTCTCCTACCCCCACCTCACACACCCCATTTCCTGTTTTAAATGAGGGGTCTTTTGCCTCCACTAGAAATATTCCATCTCCCTCTCACTCTCTTTTTTCTTTTCTTGAAGAGGCAGAGGAAAAGCACGATGATGGGCATCATTAAGATCAGCGGTGCATGCTGAGGCATTGCACTGCTAGAGCGTCTGCATCCACCATCGTAATGTTCATTAACACCGCATAGCCCTAGTGCCCAGCACACACACACACACACACACACACACACACACACAGGCACGGCTTTATTACCACAACAGAGCAAACACAGCATTAAACAGCATTAAGCGTAAATGGATATTTTATTAATCTCATTGTAGGGTGAAGAGGAGTTTGTTAATTTGGAGCATTGACTGCTTGACCTTTTTAGCAGTGAGGAGGAGGAGGAGGAGGAGGGCGGGGGGGCAGTTTTCACCATACGTCGGTGTATTGCTCTTTTAAAGCAAGGATTCCTTTTTTTTTTCTTCGTCTTTACCTTAAACAGTAGGAGATAACAGTTCAGGTACCATGTACTAATTATTCCCTTCCTCTCTCCCTCTCCCTCTCCCTCTCTCTGCCTCCCCCCTGCCCTCCTTTTCCCTCCCTGTCCTCTGCAGCAATTTGGCAAGATTTTAGACGTGGAGATTATTTTTAACGAGCGAGGCTCCAAGGTAAGTGCACCATAACCATACATTCACGAACAGTCTCTCAAACACACATTTTCTCACTGACTGTATTTGTCCTCAGGCCTCCTATTCCCTTGTAGTCCTCCACTCCCCTCAGTCACTGTCTTCACAGCTCCGCGGTCCCACTGTCTAATAGTAATTATGGACCTATCAGTGACACTTGCCTCCAGGCAGCTTTTACACCTGACCGAACTGTCATATATTGTGACATACAGTGAATCGCTCCCACTTATCTTAACGCTGACAGTGGGATTCATACAATCTGCAAAACACACACCGCCTCGCCTGGTTACAGAGCTCAAAAGTGTGCTTTTTTTGTTTTAAATAAATAAAAATGAAAAAAAGTCCCTGTATACTGG